TGAATTTTTTTTTGCTTTTGCTTTTTTGCTGAACGTTTTTCCTTGCGTTCAAACAGTAAAACAACAACAGTGATGTGGTGTATATGTTTGAAATGTTTTATACTGTTATCTTTATTAAGACTGTGAGAGAGAGAGATTGAGTGACTGAGTGAGGTGGAGAACACTAAACAGTTGTTTTTGCCATCCGATCATCTAAACAGTTTGCACACTCTGCAGAGAAGTGTACAGCACCATCAACGGTTTTTTCGCAGCTGAAAAACAAAGTTTTTGCCGTTTTTTTTTGCTTTGCTTTGTTTTGCTTTGTTTTTCTTTACTGCATTCATCCTGTATCGTCATCGTCCAAAAAGATCAGTTTGCAATGAAACATAAAAACAGTTCAATCGGCGTTATTCCAATCAGTTTTGCTGATATCAACAGAAAGAAAGAAAAAAGAAATAACAAGAAGAACAAAAACAACAACAGTAAAGCTGCTTTTTCTTCTTGGTCTTAACTTTTTAAGTGGATTTTTTTTTTTCTTTTGTTCTCGATACATCAATTTTAAAATGCAACCAAAATTTATTCGATGACAGTTTTATGATGTTTTATTTAACTGAGTTTAGCACTGAAAAAATAAAACTTACGAATATTTCGTTTCACCATGAGTAATCACTTCGTTTAATGGCACCTTGAGGCCTCCTTTTGCAACACAATTCAGGATTTCCGTTCTTCCTGTGTCTGTACATGTTTTATTAAATCGTTCACGTTCTAACCAGAAACTTCCTGTAATTAGTAATCATTAATTATACTTATTAGAACTAAAAGTATTCACAAGGAACAGTAAACTTCCAGCAAGCGCAGGCACACATATAGACACGTTGACGGTAATCATAAAATCATAACATACCAACATCGTGATGTACTCCCTCAGCATCTACACATTTAATCTCGACGTGAGGTTTATTTTCCTTGACGGGTACTGACGTTAAAGTTACTGTTCCATTTGGAAAATGATTACACCTGTATTAAAACAAAAATATGTGTATATTAATGAATTTTTAATAAGATACAGTTCAAAAAATTGTAGAAGCCAAAAAGAAATAGATCAGAGAAGGTAGAAAAGTTTTAAACCTGAAATTAAAACTGCCAAAAACTTTGTTGCTGTTTGCAGGTATCTTTTCTCCATTCGATGTAACGCAATTTAACAACTTCTGACGACCTCCTGGAGCACATACAAACTCAAAACTGTCTTCTATCCACTGATCGCCTGAATAGTTTAGTCATTAATTTTATTTATTTATTTATATATTTTAATATTTATTTCTTTATTTACTTATTTGCTCGCCTGTTTATTTATTTACTTTTTATTTTTAAAAGCATATTTTTGAACAATTTGGTCATTTAATGACTGTTTCAGTTGCTTTTTTACTATCAGTTCCATCACAAGTTCTGTGCATTCAACTGATTAAAATCACTTTGCATACACCAATCCGTATGTGAACTGATAGTGTAAAAACTGACATTTCTAAAAGTCATACCTATTACTGTTATAAAAATTTGACCAGCTGCTAGAACTTTTTCTCTTCTGCGACTAATCTATCGCTTACCAACAGATCGACTGCCACATTTGGCAACAGCATTGATATGTTGCTGAAGTGTTACCAAACCGTTGCTATCTGCTTTACACGTCCACTCATCATTACCCACTTTTTCGGTACCATTCAACGGTATTCTGGTTCCGTCTGCGAGAACACATCCAACAATTTCAGTTTTCCAGGCGCCATTACCAAGCTCCACACATTTAATCAAAAATCTATCTTTCACCACCTGCAATCCACTTTTTATGGGCTATCACATTGACGGCTGTACCGTATTCTCTGTTTATCGAATTAGTTAAACTGACGATATATTAGAACAACAGTTTGGTATTTTTAACTAAACTAGTTGCCTGATCGTTTGGTGCTTTATTTAACAAGCGTACGTATGAGCAATAGTTTAATTAGAAATTCTGAGTAAAAAAATAGTGTAAAAAGGACTAACCGCCAAATGATTGTCACCAATCCACAGTTTACGATGGCAAAAATATTTGTTGACTTATAATGTAACAGTGATCAAAAATTAAAATAAAAAAGTCATTTTCTTTGGCTGTGTTATAACAGTTAACATAATTTTTGCATATATACAAGGAGAGCACAAAATCTTACCCACTCATCACCATTTTTGTAAGTTTTTCCTTCATATGTACAGCCAGATACAGCACTGACAATGATGGTGATGACGGTGCAGAGAAGCAGTAAGGCACGCATACTGCAAATTGTTCTTGACGCCAACTGACGGATTTTTCATCCGAATCACTCACAAGTATTTCTTGCTTGCAATGTTTTCTTGTTTATCGAATGATTCGTAAACACAGATACACAGATAGATATACACAAAAACATCTGTTTAATAAACCTTTGTCTTTGATAATCAATTTGAAAAAAATAGAAAAAATAGTGCATACGTTTTAATAGTGAAAATTTGTTAGCAGTTGATTAAATAGATAAATAAAACTAAGAAACCTTCTTTTGTTTTTGCTTTTATTTATTTGTTGTCATTTTTCTGTTTTGTTAATGTTGTTGCTTTAATAGAAGTATGGTTGAGTGATACTAATCGCTGATCTATCTATGTTACCAAACAATTAAAAGAAGCGTAGTAAAAAATGGTGAAAAAAGAAAGAAGATGAAGAACAAGATGAAGATGAAGATAAAGAAGAAAAAGAAGATTAAAACAGCATTTTATAGTACCAGAAAAAATTTATCTGCTTTTTTTTTTTTTGCAAAAAAAATTAACAGTATTTCTTTTTTTTTTTTTTTTTTCTGCTGTTTGGTTATCACTGAATCGATTGCAGTAAAATATCCGACGTACAAAAGTCAATTATTTACATCTTTTGTTGAAACCTTTACACATTTTAGTACACTTTAAATTGTCTTAGAATTGTTCTATTGTTTCTAACGCAGAATCTCAAGCAGTCCATGATAAGTTTGATAAATTATTGCAAGCATAAACTGTTGATGGCCACCTATTCAGCGGAATACACCTGAATAAAACAAAGTGATAGTTGGAGAATCTTAAATAATTGTGCAAAATACTTGATTATTATATCGAATATAGTTTCAGTAGCAGAAGAAAAAAAAAAGCATTAACAAATAAATAAATAAGTAAAAAAAATTAATCAATCATTAAAAAATGTTTACAAACAAAAAAAAAATTAGTATCAACTTTATTCGGCTAATTAAAATAATCAACCAATGTCAACGAAAAGTATAAAATTACAATTATTACTTCTTACTACAATAGTAATGAGCATTATTTTCTGTACATTCAGAAATCACAGTTATCTATGTTTGTCTAAGTCTTTTTTTTCGATCTTAATTTATGTTTTAATTTTACAAACATTTTAGTCTTTTAACTCGTTGCTAAATTCAAAAACAATTCATAAAGTACAATGTACCAGTTTATATCAAATTTTTAATTAATTAATAAAACAAAAAACCGAAAAAAAGAAGGAAAGTTTATTAGGTTATTTTTAATATAACACTTAATTCTTCTATAAATTTCTTAATATGTAACTTAAGTTCTAAATTATTACAATTAACAGCAGTAACAGCAAAAGCAGCAGCAGCAGCAGCAGCAGTAACGACAATAACAGCAACAACGACACTTAACACGAATAAAAAAAACAATTTACAGATGCTACTGCTGCTCTTGGTGATGATATTACAGATAAATTCCACTAGTTTACGACGGTGACACTGATGACAATTGTTCAGAGAAAGAAAACCAAAATTAACGGTTATACAGCCAAATGTTACATTGACAAAAAAATGTTGGTGTAAAACATAAGGTAATAAAACGGGAAAAAAAAATGAAAATCTAAAATTGTTTCAAAAAGTCAATATGACGTTCAAATAGATTCTTTTTCGTAAAAAAAAAAAAAAAAAAAAAAAAAAAAAAAAAAAA